ATAGGAGGGCGTTTCCCTCGGGACTCCTCCAGCCTCCCAGCCCTCCAGCCCGGTGCGGGCCTCAGCTCCTGCCACACTTTCTGGCCACCAAACCAAGCCAAGCACCTACCCCCCCAACCTCCACACAAACACACACTCCCGCTGTCAACCGGTCTCCCCTGTCCTTACGAGCCCAGTGGAATTCTTACCTCTGCCCCTCCTCCTTCTCCCAGGCTTGCAGCCCACAAGCTGGGCTCCCCCCCATCACTGGGGTCCTTCCACATTCTGTTCCCAGCGTCTCTTCTGTGCTGCCCCATCCCCACCCCTTTCAGGGCCTATCTCCGAGGTGGGTTTAGGGCAGCAACCTCAAAACCCTCAGGGGAGACCCTCAGGCATAGGGGACCTAGGTTTTTGTTTTTGTTTTTTTTTGGCCACAAGGCTTGTGGGATTTTAGTTCCCCGACCAGGGATTGAACCCGGGGCCACAGCAGTGAAAGCGCTGAGTCCTAACCTCTGGAGCACCAGGGAATTCCTGAGGACCTAGCTTTTGACCTTTCACTAGGAACATCTGCCTGGATGGTGGGAGCCAGACCACCCTCACCCCAGTCTAACCAGCTCCTCTCACTGACCCTGCACAGGGCAGACTGCTCAGCTAACATTCATCCAGCCAGCAGATATGTTCTGTGTCTTGGCTCTGGGCTGGCCCACGCTGTGCATTTTGAAGGTAAACAGGCCCAATCCGTGCCCTGAAGTAGCTTAGATGCAGACAGAGGACCAGATCCTGGCCATGCAGAGCATGAGGGGCTGGAGAACCCAGAGATGGGGTTCAAGTCAACCACCAGTAGTCAGGGAAGGCTTCCTGGGGGTGGTGACCCAGGAATTCAGTTTGAAGTGGGAGGGAGGATCTTGGCCAAGAAAGGGATGGAAACACAGGGAGGTGAGTGGGAGGGAGACCCTGCAGGGCCATGTGAGCATCTATGGCTTACATTTTAGCTCGACAGTGACCGGGAGCCAGAGGGGTTTGAGGTAAGGAGTTGTGTGGGTCATTGCATTTGAGAGCCAGTCCCTGGCTGCAGTCCGGCTAAGGGAGAGGAAAAGGTGGAATAGGGGCCAGGACGCCAGTGTCCTGGTGGTGTGGTGCCCTGGAAGGAGTCGGTGGTGGCCTAGCCATTGGGTGCGGCCAGACAGATGCAGGCAGGCACAGGGCATCGGGTACCTTGACGTCGCAGCAGAACTGGGAGATCTCACCCTCCCGCATGGTGCGCACAATGGTCTCCCACACGGGCAGCTTGAACTTCTTGCCGATGATGAGCTCCATGGGCTTGCCGCGCACCCGGCTGTCATCCAGCACAGTGCCCTCCTCGTCACTGCGCAGAGTCCGGTAGTGGAACGTGGCCTGCGGGCCGCAAGTGGGATCAGACAAGGGCACAGCCTTCCCCCATCCCCCAAGGACAAGCCCAGCTCGCAGCGTGCAGATGGCACAAGGGACAGGGCTCTCCCAGGGGTCACCGCCCAACCTTACACCTGGCTTTACCGCACCACCCAGGTGAGGATACTGTCACCGACAGGGAAGGGGTCCAAATCACATGGCTAGTGGGTGGACGGGCTGGGACAGGAGCCCAAGCAGTCTGGCACTAATCATTCTTTCAACAAATATTTACCGAGCACCTACTATATGCCTGAGCTCTGTGCTAGGCCCAGCAGTGAACAAAACAGACAAAAGTCCCTGCCCCCGTGGAGCTCACATGGAACTTCTAAAGGCAAGAGATGGGCCTCAAAATGTGCCGTGTGAGGTTGAGCTAAGTGCTATGGATCAGAAAACAAAATGCAGCAGGGTAAGGCAGGGTGAGTTTAGGGGGCAGGAGTCTCTGCGAGGACAACATTTAAGCAGAGATCTGAGGATCTGAGGGAGTTCCCTGGCGGTCCAGTAGTTAGGACTCAGTGCTTTCACTGCCGGGACCCGGGTTCGATCCCTGGTTGGGAAACTAAGATCCCACAAGCTGTGCTGTGTGGCCAAAAAAACCCCAGAGATCTGAAGGGAAAAGCAAGCCAGGCAGATGCTGGGGTAGGAAGGGGTGGGAACTTTCTAGGTCAAGAGAATAGCAGGTGCAAAAGCCTTGCAGAGGGACAGTGTGTGGTGTGCTCACAAAACGGGAAGCCAGTGTAGCAGAAGCAGAGTGAACAAGGGCGAGGAGTTATGCATCACGGGGTCACCAGGTCAGCAAGGATGGACCCCACAGAGCCTGCAGGCAGTGGTGAGGAGTTTGTTTTTTCACTCTGAGTTGAGAGCCAGCGGATGGCTCCAAGCAGAGGAGGGACATGATCTGACGTGGGTTCTGCTACTGCTGGGATGAGAACAGGCTGGAGCAGGGGGAGGACAGAAGCAGGAAGGTGGTTACTGCAATAACCCAGGAGAGAGATGATGGCGGCCTGGACCAGGGTGGTAGTGGCAGAAGTGGTGAGAAGTGGTCAGATCACCGGTGTATTCTGAGGATCTTCTGTGGGAAGTGAGAGAACAGGAGGAGCCATGGAGACTGGGAGGTTTTTGGCCTGAACAGCCAAAAGGCTGGAAGTGCCCTTAACTTAGAATGGGAAGGCTTGGGGGGAGCAGGTGAAGTTTGAGGTGCCAACCAGACATCCAGGTGGAGGTGGTGAGTAGGGAGCCGGATATCAACTTTAAAGGAGAGGGAAGGCTAGAGATAGACATCTGGGAGTGGCCCAGGCATGGAGAGGTTTTTAAAAGAGATGAGCCTGGATGAGATCATCTCAGGGCGAGTGAAGAGAGAAGAGGTCTAAACACTGAACCCTCCACAGGATGTGGTTAGAGGAACCCACACTCTTTACCACCACCCCTAGCCACTCCTCTGAGCTCTGTTTCCACGTCAGTAAAATGGGGTCAACTGTAGTACCTATCCCTCTTGTGAGAAGGAAAGAAAATAAACTTGTGAAGCATTTAGCACGGTGCTCATGTGAGCCCTCAATCAATGCTGGTGATTGGTTTTTTAATTTACCTGTACCTGTTCCTTCAGGGTCATTGTTCACAGATCTTCACTATTTTTACAGTGCTCTCTCCAGCTGGTGTCTGTTCCATCCAGGATCTCCCTTGCCAGGACCTTCTTCAAGGCCACCAAGCCCCCAGCCCATGGTGGAATCCACCCACATCCACCTCCCTTCTCACATCTGGGAAAGGATCCCTCTTGGTATCACTGATCACTAGGGCTGTGTAGCTCTGCCTGAAATCACTCACACTGAGCGAGGCTAGGATCTTTACCTGCTGGATCTCGGCACAGTAGCTCTTACTTTTGGTGGCCCCAGTATGTTTTGTTTTGTTTTGTTTTTGAGGTATGTGGGCCTCTCACTGCTGTGGCCTCTCCCGTTGCGGAGCACAGGCTCCAGACACGCAGGCTCAGCGGCCATGGCTCACGGGCCCAGCCGCTCCGCGGCATGTAGGATCTTCCCGGACCGGGGCACGAAGCCGTGTCCCCTGCTTCGGCAGGTGGACTCTCAACCACTGCGCCACCAGGGAAGCCCGGCCCCAGTATGTTTTAAATGTTAAACTGTTGTAGTCATCAACAAGGTATGTCAATTCAGTTATTTTGGGGGCCAGGATCTTTACTCGTTCGCTCAAGATGCGTGTCCTATGTGACTGCTCTGCTGGGCACAGGGGCTGCCCCCAGGAAGCTCCTTACTCTACAGGCAAGTGGCAACAGGGAAAGGCCCTCCAGGAGGAGGGAACTGCATGAGCAGAAGCAGGTAAGCCTGGAGATGTACATTGTTTGGGGGAAGGGGCCGGAGAGGCTGGAGGTGGGGGCCTGGATGTGCAAAGGAGGAAGATGGGAGGCTCTTTATTTCCCAGCCCTTATCTGTCCCGAGCAATGCCACGAAGAGCACTCGGAAGGCTGCCAAAAGGATTCTGGTCTGGCAGACCCAACCTCTGGGCCTGTTTGTTCTCTCGGTTGGTGCGTCGTCCCAGGGCCTCGATTTTCCCATCTAAGAAATGGAGCTGGTCTGTGTTTTCAGAAGACCCTTCCGTCTATAGATTTTGAGCCTTGCAAACCAGGGGGTCCTCCCAGGTTTCCGATTTAGGGTCTTCTCCAGCGCTGGGTCTGTGCAAGCAATAGGGTCAACCCTCCCACCTCCCGCAACCTGTTTATAATGACTGACGGCCTCCCCAACCAATGTGGCCACACGGCCAAGCCAGGGGGCGGGGCAGACGCATCCGAATTCACCCTCTACTTAAATCCAGACCAATCAGCGTCGAGCTCGGCATGTGAGAGGTAGGGTCACCGACCACTGCTATTTGGGCATGCGCAATCTCTCGCCTACAGCCTCTTCCCGCCTCGCATGCACACCGCGCCACGGACGGTTAAGGGAAGGGGATAAACACGAACCTTAGTTCCATCCTGAAAGTCAGGGAGCTCTCCTCGGCCCTCCTCTATCACACGCTTTTGGATCCCGTCCTCCCGGAGTCTTGCGATGATGTCCGCCATCCTCCGTCCCCGCTGCTCTCTTTCGGCAACTTCCGGACTCGCTCGTCAGCTTCCGGACCTGCTTCGTCAACTTCGGCAACTTCCGAACTGGCGCCATTTTGGCTAAGGGCAGACGCCGTAAAGGGCCTGAACGTGGAATCGGACAGTGATTGGTTCTCTGCGCTGCGGCTGAGCGCGCGGGTCTAACCAGGGGCGGGGCCTGAGACTGTCTAGGGGAGGTGAGAGAGGCGGGGCCAGAGTCGGCCGGGCGGGGCGGGGGCGTCCCTAGCAATTGTGTCATTGAACTGATATAGACTGGGCCCTCCCAAGTGGCCGTGTGCCACTCTATTTTAAGTTGTAGGAACAGTATAACAGCGTTACAGAACTAGGATGGAGCGGGGGCTGGGGGCCCGTCGGTAACGCCACCCCCTAAAACTACTATTTTTGTGTATTCCTTTCTGGGTTTTTTCTTTTAGCATACCTAGCACAATAGTCGTGACTTTTGCATCCTGGATTTTTCTCTTTAAATATAAATAAATAAATAAGTAAAACTAGGAGTAAGAAAGAGAGGAAGGAGGGTTTCTGTGTTCCTGCGGGAACCGTAAACTCCCCAAGAGACTGACAGTCCCTCGTGGGGTCCTGGCTGGGTGTGTCGTCACCATGGAATCCTCCGCGGTGCCTGGCACATAGAAGTTGCCCAGTGAGTATTAGGAAATATAGGAATGATAGAAGTGAGGCACTTCGGGGGTAGTACAACATTTCTCTCCGCCTCTGGAAACTAGCTGTGAAGAATAGCTGTAAGAGTTTTCTGCTCCCACTTTCGAGGTTTAGGTAACCGAATAAAGGGAATGTCTTGGGACCTGTACACTGTCTTCATTCCATCCTCATAACTGCGAAGAATTATTATCCGTCCCCTTTGTCCCACGTGCTAAGGGCTTCAGATATTTATGCTGGTTCATTTCCCCCCCAAAAGTCCCCTGAGAGAGGTGGAACCTCTGGGGTGAAAGGGAAACATGCTTTGTTTGTTTTTAGCTTTTTTTTTTTTTTTTTACCCACACAGGAAGTTTTTCAGGCGACTTCTGCCAAATTCTGAAGCAACAAGTAGTCTGTATCTTATACAGATTGCTCCAGAAAATGGAAAAAGAGGGAAAGCCAACCAACATATTTTATAAGGCTATTTAAATCTTGATTCTGAGCCAGATAACTATACCATAAGGCAAGAAATATATACACCCATTTTACTAATAAATATAGATATGAAAAATCCTAAGTGAATGTTCAGCTAATTAAATCCACTAGTATATATAAAAATACCTCAGGGCTTCCCTGGTGGCGCAGTGGTTGAGAGTCCGCCTGCCGATGCAGGGGACAAGGGTTCATGCCCCGGTCCGGGAAGATCCTACATGCCGCGGAGCGGCTGGGCCCGTGAGCCATGGCAGCTGAGCCTGTGTGTCCAGAGCCTGTGCTCCACAACGGGAGAGGCCACAACAGTGAGAGGCCCGCGTACCAAAAAAAAAAAACAAAAAAAACCTCAATATGCTAAATGAATGTCATTCACAAAAAGACAAATAGTACATGATTCCATTTATATGAGGTACCTGGAGTAGTCAGATTTATAGAGACAAAGTTGAATGATAGGTGAGTGGGGAGAGGAAGGGAAATGAAGAGTTGTTGTTTAATGGGTGTAGAATTTTAGTTTTGCAAAAACATAAAATGTCCTGGAGATCGATTGTACAACAATGTGAATATAGTTTTGTTTGTTTTTTGTTTGTTTGTTTGTTTGTTTTTTGCCACGTGGCTTGTGGGATCTCAGTTCCCCAACCAGGGACTGAACCCAGGCCACGGCAGTGAGAGCCCGGAATCCTAACCACTAGGCCATCAAGGAATTCCCGTGAATATGGTTAACACTACTGAACTATGCACTTAAAAATGTTTAAGATAGGGCTTCCCTGGTGGCGCACTGGTTGAGAGTCCGCCTGCTGATGCAGGGGACACGGGTTTGTGCCCCGGTCCCGGAGGATCCTACATGCCATGGAGCGGCTGGGCCCGTGAGCCATGGCCGCTGAGCCTGCACGTCTGGAGCCTGTGCTCTGCAACAGGAGAGGCCACAACAGTGAGAGGCCCACGTACCTCAAAAAAAAAAAGAAGAAAAAATGTTTAAGATAGTAAATTTTATGTTATGTGTATTTAAACACAATTAAAAATTTTAATTTTTTTCTCAAAAAAAAAGCATCATGATCAAGTAGGGCTCATTCCAAGAATTATGAATGGTTTAACATTAGAAACATCCATTACTGGACTTCCCTGGTGGTCCAGTGGTTAAGACTCCAGACTTCCAATGCAGGGGGCATGGATTTGATTCCTGGTCCAGGAACTAATATCCCACATGCCACACCACGCGGCCAAAAAAAAAAAAAAAAAAAAGAAAGAAAGAAATACCCATTACTGTAATTCATCACATCAGTGAATTAAAGGAGAAAACTCATATGATTATCCCAAAATATGCAGAAAAAGTATTTGATGAAGTTTGCTTTGAGGACTATTTATGATAAAAACTCACAGTTAGGAAAAAAGCGGAACTTTCTCAGGATGACACAAGCCATATGCAATTAAGTATGATGGAATAAGTATTCACATTCCCTTCAACATCAGGAACAAAGTAAGGAACGCTCTCTATAAATGATGCTGTTTAGCAAAGTATTAGAAGTCTTGACCAAAGCAATAAACGAAGAAAATGACATGTGAGTGATTATATCTATATGGAAAATCCAGTAGAATCTACAGACAATTTTTTTTTTTTTTTTTTTTTTTGCGG